GATCCTACTAGCCTAACTGCCAAGTTCAATGCATTCACTGGCAAATTTCATAATATGCCAAAGTATGGTAAAATATAGTATATTATTGCCATTGAATGGAAAAAATTGAATAGGCTGGTATAATAACAAATTGAATAAGCTGGTATAATCACATGTATGTGTATGGATCATACACATTTTCACAATGTGTATGGCCCATACACATACATGTGGTTTTTATATATATATAAAAACCATACTATACTTTACCATACTTACTATATTTTCTTACTATACTTTTCCACATGTATAAGCCATACACAATGATTGTGTATGGACCATACACATATATGTGGCTTTTATATAATTATACCAGCTTACTCAATTTTTCTAACACTCTATAACAATTTGGAAACAGTTTACTGTTTTCTTATAATAAAAATAACAATAATTTTCGTAAATAAATAACTTTTTAAATATAATGTATCTTTATCATTTCATACGACATCAGCGCCATTACTGTAACACTAAAGGCGCACATTATTTTAAGGAAATAAGTTTCCTTAAAACAAAGGAATACTTTTTACTACGGTAAGGAAATTTTTAAGGAAAAACCGGTAAGGAATTTTTTTTCCTTAATACGCAAGGAAAGTTTTTTTTGAGTGTATATATATATATATATATATATATATATATATATATATATATATATATATATATATATATATATATATATATATATATATATATATATATATATATATATATATATATATATATATATATATATATATATATATATATTCTAAATGCTATAAAATGGGTGTAAATTTGATTACACCCGATTTATGAAATTGTGTGATTACTCGAGACAGATTTATAACAAGTTTAATCTATCTCAAGTAATTACAAAACCATACAATGTGGTTCTTGCAATAAATGGATCCATTTTTGCGAAACACTTCGATATACTTAAATCTTTCTGATAATGAATTCAAACATACCATAAATGGTAATAAATTCTTACATATCTCAAAACATATAACACCTCCTAATCTCAAATCTTTTTAGAAAAATCGAATCTTTTTAAAAATCTTAACCTTAAAATAAATTGTAAAAACTATGAAACCACTGAATACAATAATGCTATTAATAAAATTTCTATAAAATTTGTTCGTAATAATCTTTGACTATCTATATTTATGACCATAGATATCTGCTAGCTTTTACAAAAAACAAACCAAATACCATCGCAGTATCTGAGAATCGCTTAAAGTAAAATTAAACGTTAATAACTGATACTTCATTAAGTAAGTGAATCTTTGAACAAACTGAATCTTGTTCCAGCAGAGGAGGGACACAAAATATATAAAATCAGGCTTAAAGTACAAGTTGAAATCTGGGGTCGATGTTATAAAACTTTTTACTGGCGTAAAATGCTAATGGTGGAAATTTTACTCTAGGAATTTTTACAGCCGTATATTTAGAGTCGTAAAATGTTTTTTAACTCAATATTTAATTAAGTTCAGAGCATTAAATTCTGTAAATATCAATGCTCTGAACGTATTCTTAGAAATCTATTGTCTGTATTAATAACATTCTTAAGATATAAAAGGTTGTCAAAAACTACGTGTTTTTGAGTTTAATATTTAAAAACATCAAATGGCCGGATTTCGGCTCCGGCTCCGACCGAAATCCGGCATTTTTACAAATCTGGCCCAAACCCGGCTCCGGCAAAAAGATAGCAAATGCGGCAAAATTTTAGTCGGATTTCTGAATTTTGGTTAGACATTTATTACATTTTTATTGCCCGTGTTTACATGTATATTTAATATTTTATTTGATTAAATCAATTTTCTTTGTAATTCTATGAACTCCCTGTTAGTAATGGTATCTGTATTTACACTTTTTTTTACAATTTAATTAGTTAAGCCTAATTTTAAATAACAACAAAAAATTCTGAAGGGAATACACATAATATTCTTAAGTGAATAAACACGATTGAGTCTGAAGTGAATAACAAATTTGGTTAAATATACATTCAATAAAGTTACAGTGCAGAAGGTATCGATGCAAGATGGAAGTCAATCTAAGCATGCTGAGCAGCAAATTGACAAAATTGAAGAAATTCCAGCAAAACAAGCCCGGCTAGGTAATTCTTCTACATCATCATCATTACTCTGACAATGTATTGATAAAATTGTTCAGACTGCGTCAGCTGGTGGTACAGCACATGAACAACAATTACCAACACGTACTAACACTCAGCTAAACCAGTATCAGACAGAACCATAAATAAAGAGACACGCTGATCCATTACAGTGGAGAAGTGATAACTTGAAACAATTTCCAGCTCTGGCGATAGTAACTCACACTTATTTGGGTGCCCCACCAACAAGTGTACCATCAGAACGCTTTTATTCAGTGTTGCTGGGGAGGTCCCCAATGATCATCGTAGTTTACTTCTGCGACATAATGCAGTTTGCATAATTTTCTGAAGTTACTTTAGTTCACTTTTAAATTAAAAGATTTAATAATTAGCAATTATTTTGTTATGTTATGATATGTTATGTAAAATTGTGTCCTTCTATTTTAATAATAACAATGAAGTTTTACAGAAAACAGTTGTCAAAGTTACAGGATTTCGGCTCCTGTAACTTTTTTCTTTCGGATTTTTCAAATCCGGCTTCGGCTTTGGCTCCGGCCGAAATTGTCTGTAGAAATCTGGCAAATCCGGCTCCGGCCGGATTTTAAAAAATATTAAATCCGGTACAGCCCTAATTTAAACTGTTAAGAATATAATTTAAAAGGAAAAAAAATAAAGATGTCATTAATTTTTTACCCTATCCCATAACAAAATTTGTATAGTTTTTCTATAAAAATAATCAATTGTATTTTCTATAAGCTTTTGAAACAAATGACCTATAGAAACTGCGGCTTCTTTGGACTACCTAGTGTGATTCAATACATTATTCTACAGATTTTGTAGTTGGAATTCTAAAAACAATTTTTTTCAAGAGCCTATAGAAAATTGTGTTAATTTAAATATAAAAAATCTATTCAAATTTTGTATGTTTGTTATTGGAAGAAAAAATAGCAAAAATTACATAAACTTTTTAAAAAAATGACTTTAAATATTAAAAATTAAAAGAATTAATCAGAAATTCATTATGTAAATTTTTATTACATAAATTCATTTAGACACAAAAAAATATTTAAACATAAAACTCTTTTGTTGCATTCTGCTTAGATTTTTATCTAATATGTTTTTATGTGCTTCGTTACCATAAACAATATGAGAAACCTTGGAAACAAGTTGTACATGATCTCTAAACACTTTCTGAATAAGAAGAAAAACCTTGATGGATTTTGTTACTGCTTTATCTGACAAAAATATTTGAGCTCATACTATATTCGAGTATCAATATTATTTCTAGAACTTTATTGATTCTGTTTATAGTTTCACCACTTTTTTTACAATTTTGAATCTCAAATAATAGCTGTATAAATTTTAAATGGAGAAATTTTTTTTGTCAGTTCATTGTGAGTTTGTCTAAAACTAGAGTTGATCAAACTTTATGATCAATAAGCAGTCCTGATAAATCAAGCGTAAGTGCATTTTTCATCCAATAGAACTTCCTATATTGTTTCTAATTAAATCAATAACAAACTTTAGTAATTATAAAAATTTCAAATTTCTGATGGATTTTCAGGGACTACTAAAATAACGGGACGCGAAACTTCAAATCGATGCTAAAACGACGACAGGGCCGATTGTAAATGGCGATGTTAGTTTGATTTAGCAAAGAAGTTATGAAAAATTTACATTAATCTAATTATATTCACATTTTAGAATACATTAAAGTGATACAAATTCATATTACTAATATAATGTATATATTTTTCACCAGTATATGATAAAATTTAGGTTAATACAATAGAAATATTGGGAGATATTTACAACATTTTTTAAAAAAAAGCCTTTTTTTTTTGAAAAAAGTTGCTATTTTTATTGAAAAATCAAAAGGTTTTTTATTTTTTGAAAGTAGTAAGATTAAAAAATTGTATTAAGTAATTTTTAATTTGAGTAATTTATTTTAAGTAATGAATCTATTAAGTGTTACAAAATGTTATGTCATATTTATAATAAATAATAATGGTGTTACTATTATTAGTTATAATCATGCCAAGAAAATGTTCAATAGTTAATTGTACCACAAATTATTTAACATCAACTTCAGAAAAAAAGCTTCATGTTTACATGTTTCCAAGTGACCCACAAAAGTTACAATATTGGTTGTCATCTATTCCAAATGCGTTTGAAAAAGTAACTTCAAATATGGGTGTGTGTGAAAAACACTGGCCACCAGGCTGCAAAATGCACAAGCCTCCTCGATCAAAGTTTGAGGTAAGCATCCTTAAAGTTGTTTTTATTGATAAGTTTTACAATGACTAATTTTAATAATATCTTTTTTAGGTTCCTGTTGATCCCCCATCTATTTTTCCTGGATGCACATCTTCAATGGTGCGCCAAACAGTCTCAACACAACCAAGATCTACAAATATAAATAAAATTTCTTTAACATCACGAAATGCAATACCTGATGAATTGGATGATTTCAATCAAATTGATTTAATTAAATTTTATGATGTTGAAATAATGTTGTCTGAAATAAAAGAAAGGTAAAATTAATTTTTTCTCCTCGTTTTATGATATTTGTTTGTTTTGATTTAAAGTTTACTTGTTATTAAATCTATTTTAGATATCCTCAATACTTTGCGTTCATTGAAAATTCAAAAGTCATATTGTTTGATGTTTCTCGATCATGTCTACCTGAAACAATATTTTCTGTTGAAATTAACTGTCATTCGCGTCAAGTTAATATTTATTGTAGGCATACAAAAGTTAACTGCTATGACCTGCTCAGTTTTTCTCATTGTCTTACTCGGTGGTCACAGCTTGAAGCTATTGTCAAAAGAGTTTGTAGCTCTAGTCCTGAAATAAAAGATGAGGTATTAAGTTTGATTAGTCAAATTGAAAATACATACAGTGATACTTCTGAAGAAATTTTTTTCCTCATTGAACAACTACGCCTCACCACTTATTCTCCAAATGGACTACGCTTTTCTACTTTATGTATACGTCGTGCACTTGAACTGTATTTGTCCTCCAGATGTTGTTATCGACATTTAAGAAATCTGCTTTGTTTGCCCAGTCCAAAGACTCTCATTTCAAAATTAGGAAGAGTTGGAGAAGTTGGAAATGAAAAAGAGTGCAATAATACAATCAAAGTTGTTTTTGAAAATTTTAATAGTTCTGAAAAGCGTTGCTGCCTTCTCTTTGATGAGATGTATATTAAACCAAGTGTTAGTTTCAGAGGAGGACACCTCATTGGATATAATACCTATGTTTGGTAAACCTTCTTTTGTTTGTAGAATTGTACCAATATTTAAACTGTCAGTGCACTTTCTTCACGATTTGATTATAAACATAAATAAACAAATAATTGATGCAGGAGGAGAATTACTGTGTCTTTTATCAGATAACCATCCCACAAATCGAAGTGTTTACCAAAGTTTCGTTGTTAATAAAAGTTTTCCATGGCAAGGTGTTATAGAAAAAGAAAAACCAGTTATTATGCTACACGATCCAGTTCACTTGTTTAAAAGTATAAGAAATAATTGGTTTACGGAAAAAACACAAACAATTAGTTTAAAAATTAATAATCAACCTCTCTCTGGTGATTGGTCTCACATTGTTCAATTATATAACAGACAGAAAACTTGTGTTGCCAAAACTACAAAGCTTTCACGCAAGTCAGTGTACCCTAGTTTGATTGATAGACAAAATGTTGCAAACATGGTTGCTGTATTTAATGAAAAAACTGTTGCAGCATTGAGATTAGCTAATTTTGAGAACACTGCCTGTTTTTTAGCACCAATTGTTTCATTATGGAACATGCTAAATGTTAAGAGGAAAGGTTGTGATGTTTTACTTAATGATATCAATAGGTCTCCTTTCCAGACACTCGATGACCTTAGATTTAAAGAAATTTTAGCATTTGCTGATGCAACTTCTAAGATGTCAGAGGGAAAGGGATTAAAGCGTCATAATACTTTTACACCAGAAGCAAAACATGCTTTAGTTAACACCCTACAAGGATTGGTGGAATTAATAAAAAAACTGCTTTCAGAAGATCACCAATATGTTCTTCCCGGTATTTTTCAAACAGATCGTCTTGATGGTGAATTTGGCATCTACAGGTAAAATTATTTTTGTGTTACTTATAGTAAAGAAAATTTTGTAGGTTTGAAATCTAAAAAACAAATATTTCTCTTATTTATTTAAATGTATTATTTTTTAACATACATAAGTTTATTGATTCGTTTTTTTTTGACAATTGCTGTTTTAACTATAATTTAATACTCGGTTCAACTCAATTTATTTGGTTATATCTTTTTGCAATTTTTTTGCTTATTTGTAGACAACTAAGTGGCGGAAATTATTTTATCTCAGCAGAACAAGTATTGAACAGTTTGCACCTTCAGCGGTTAAAATTATTCAGCAAAATAGTTTCTTTGGATGAAACTGACATTCATTGCTCACGCATACATTCAGACTGTTGCACAATGGATCTATTGGAAGAGGATATTATTTATTTAGATGAATGTTTAATTAATGCAGACAATGAATCTATTAATGATAAGGAGAATGCTGCCCTTTTTTATATGGCTGGTTATGTACAGCACAAGATCGATCCGCAGCGTATAGTTGATACAACAACATCACAATCAGCTAGTTCTGAATTTACAGATTATGTTTCACGTGGTAAATTGCGTTATCCTGGTGATACTCTTCTCCAGTTTATTTGTGTTTGTTATCTACTGTTTAACAGCGTTCCAATGTCTGAAAAACGTTTTCAATGTGTTGTTTATTTAAAGAAATTATTTTTATTCTTGCATTCAACATTACCATTTGATTTAGAAACAGACAGTATAGGTATTTCAAAAGTTATATCAATAATAACTAACTGTTTCTTAAAAGGTGTTACGACCCTTGATAATACATCTGATATTGTTTCATTAAACATTGAGGACAGAAAAAGAAAGAAACTCAATACTTAGTGGTCTGATTATTTAGTTGACATTGGTGATATAATTAATAACGTTTTGAAATGTATTTATGGCTTTATATTTATATGGTTTAAAATTTGTTTATAATTATATATTTATTATTATGATATGAATATATAGTATGATAAGTAGTGATTAATTAGTTTATTAACATTGTCTTTAAAAATAATTATTTACAGCTAATTTACAGTTTCTTTGTAAAAAGTTGTTTTATTTTTAACACTTAATCAACACAGTTTGAAAATAGTGATAAATAATTGAGCCATAACATTTTTTTATTAAATTTCTATTCATAATTATATTTTTGTTTAATAATAGAAGTGTTTCGCTTTTTTTTTCATCGGCCCTGTCGTCAAAACTACATGAAATTAGAGTTTCGCGTCCCGTTGTTTTAGTAGTCCCTGTGGATTTTTTTCAGGCTTCAGTGTCTGAAAGAAAATTTATAAAGTTAATATAAAAAGTTATATTTATTTATTTACTCATATATATATATATATATATATATATATATATATATATATATATATATATATATATAATATATATATATATATATATATATATATATATATATATATATACAATTAAATAAATAAATATATATATATATATATATATATACATATATATATATATATAATTAAATAAATATATATATACATATATATATATATATATATATATATATATATATATATATATATATACAGAGCCGCCAAGAGGGAGGGGCAATTGAAGTAGTTTGCCCCGGGCATCACAGTCTATGGGGCATCACATACGCCAAAAAGTTATTGAAATGATAAAAAATATAAAGTTTAAGCAAACTTTGTGTAATAATTTCGTTCTCCTCATAAATTTTGTTTACATTTAAAGTATATTAATTATTACTTTACTAGGTTTTCATTTTCTTTCTGAACAAACGCGTTTCTATTCATAGATATATAAGTTATATAATTTATACATAATATATATAAAAGGAATATAATTTATATATCTATGTTTTTATTGGCCTTTTGTTTGCGTAATAAAGTAAAGATTTTTTTCTTATTAGTTCTTTTAGAGATGAAATAAAACTGAAGATGAAACAAAGTGATGGAAAGCAATTTTATAATGCATTCTTGGTGTCACAATTTTCCTGGCATTAAGAAATTTAGCGTTTAGGAGTAAGAGAATTGTTATTAAATTTTAAGTTATACTTTGCATTATTTTATTTACATTTTAAAAATTAAAATAATAAGTTATAATTCTATATAACTACGGATTATTATTTTTGATAACTTTTGGTTTGCAATTAGGATCCAATCAAAAAGTGTTCAAATATGGGAATGGAAAGTTCTTGAAGCTTATTGCTGAGAACCAAAATGAAGAAAAGCGTATGCAAGCCTATTCCTTATCCTGAAAGTTACAGAATGAATTTATTGGGTATAATGGTTTAAATCCATATATTTGACCATCATCACGGACAGCACTCGCGATGCGACCCACAGCGGTTAAATTTCTTTCATTTTTTATTTTTTGCATTTCATGAAATGCAGAAAATGAAAAATAAAAGAAATTAAAAATGAAAGAAATTAATGAAAAATGAAAAAATTTAATGAAAAATGAAAGAAATTAAAAATGAAAAAAATTTATCATCCCTTCAGGAATAATCATCTGTTAAAGGTCAAAAAAAGGTTTCTTAAACTAGAATTACTTGAGAAGAAAAAAGGATCTGATTTAACAAATTTGATATAAATGAGTTAGAAGAGATTGAGTTCGACACAAAAAATTGTTGTGGTCAAGGCTACGACAATAGCGCTAATATAGCAGCTATTTACAATAGAGTTAAAGCTTTGATTAGGCAGAATAATCAACGAATAATTTTCATTCCTTGCTCTACTCACTGTTGCAGTGTCGCACTGTCACTGTTACTCAGTGTTGCACTGTCACTATTGCAGTACAAGCTATTGAATCATCGGTTTCTGCAAAATCCTATTTTGAAAAAATTCAAAAGCTATTCAAGCTGTTCAGCTGCAGCCCGGTTTGTAGAAAAATTCTTCAGTAGGAAACAGGCCAATCATTAAACAAACTTTCTGTTATACAATGGAGCTTAAGGGTTGAAACAGTCGAGCCGCTAGCATAAAAGCAAAAAAGATCTTGAAATTATTACATCGTCCAAAAGATTAAACTTTCTAATTAAAAGTAGTAATGAAGTGAATTGTCTATTTAAATAGAAAAATTCTTTTAAATTTTTTGCTTTCACTACTTCCTGGTTCACATGTTTGATGGTAGTTAAAAATATCTTTAGCTTCAATCCACTTAACTCACTCTAGATGATGAAGTAAATATTTTTATTTGGCCATTGACAGATCTGGATTGAAACCGTTTATCTTGGAACCAAATTATACCTGATAAAGGCAAAAGAAGTAGCAAAGGTATTGAAATTTGACGAAATTATAATTGCTGTGAAGAGAACGCAAAAAAATACTGTCTTCCCTGATGAAACTGCTAGTTACAACCACGAAAAAGCATCAAAAAACTTTGGGTGTAATGTCTTCAATGTTGCACTCGACAATCTGACTGTTCAAATGAGATCAAGATTTAAAGTTATATAAGAGAAATTTAACAAGTTTTTATTCCTTTAATCTTTACTGAAATCTCAAACAGACAAAAATCTAGGTTTAAAAGCTGAGAATCTGGCAAAACTTTACCCAGAAGACGTATGTAAATACGAATTTTCTGATAAAGTTTTTTATTTTTATTTTTCGTAAGTAGAAAAAAAAATTTCATCAGTGTTGTGCTACTTGATCATTTCAATTGAATGAGATTTAGCCAATAACTTTTCTTATGAAGTTGTTATTTTTGCCGCTACGTAGGCCAAGAAGTTCGATATTAAGACTAGTACCAT